AAGGTGATGGTCTCTCTGCAGGACAGTGGTGGAAAATGAACGCTGCAGTGGGCTGTTTGTATCACTGAAAGCTCTAAAAGATTCACCATCACTGCTGTAGGGCAAAGGTTATGGCCCATTCACAGGTGATAGCCATCACACCCATAAGAGGTAAAGCCCATTTTCCAAGCAAAAGAAAAGAGCCAACCTCATTTTCATGTAAAAAGGAATTGCCCAGACTTATTATGTCTTGGGGAAAAAAATGTGTTAATCTTGGTTTTTGTCCTGAAGCTGCAGTTTTTATTTTTTAAATTATGACTTTCCATGTCTCTTTTCTATGTATCTTTATTTCTTTTACTTGGATACCACTGGGTAAACCTTTGTGAAAGTTACAGTCTAGGGACACAGGCCCACAAAAATACTGAGATTTGATCAGAAGATCAAAGAACTCCCACAATCCACCCCCACCCAACATCCTTTGCTACCAAACCTTAGCCTCCAGTTGAGTAACCTTGCATTAGAGCTGAATGAGCTACAAGATACAGATTGTCTCTGAATCCAAGAACTTGAGGAAGCTCGAAGTGGAAAGGAAAGATAAGAACAAAGATACTTTAAAAAACACCTCAAGCTCTGGCACTTACAGTTATTGAAGGGTTAAACACAGCCTAACTTCTAGCTAGATTAACACATACAACCTCACAATAAAGACCTGTTCACCTCAATCCCTAGCACTCATGAAAATGTGTCGGACTTGCAACCAAAAATTACAAAGCATGCCAAAAGACAAGAAAATAGTCTCTCAAACCAGATGTCTAATAAGACAAAGCAAGTGTCACAATCAGACTCAGATGGGACACAGCAGTTAGAATTAGAAAATTGAGAGATATTTCCATTTTTATAAATGAGTATTGGATATTTCAAGATTTTTTTCTGCATGAATTTATATGATCCTATGTTTTGGCCTTTGTTCTATCAATATGGCATATTATATTAACAGGCTTCTGAATGCTAAACCAATATTAAATTTCAGAGATAAGCTCATTTGGTCATGGGAAACAATGTTTTTGGGGGGGTTTTTTTGTTTTTTTGTGTGTATGTGTGTGTTTTAATATGTGGCTGGACTTAACTTGTTAATGTTATATAGAATTTTTGTGTCTATGTCCCCAGAGATATTGATCTTCATTTTTTCCAGTGTTGGGAGTTGAATTCAGGGCTTCACACATGCTAAGCAAGTGCTCTACCATGAACTTATATTCTCAAACCCTTCTTTTTTTCTAATGTCTTTGGTTTGTCATCATAGTAATACATTATAACATGTGGTAAGAAGTATTTTTTCATTTTGTTTTCTGAAAATACTTTTGTAGGATTAGTACTAGTTTTTCCTGAAATGTTTGACAGAAATCACCACAGAAACCATCTGCACCTTGACTTGTATTTGTGGTAAGTTTCATTTCTTCATGTTTAATTTCTTTACTTGATATGGACAATGAACAGATTTTCTGTTTTTCCTTCATATACTTTTAGCAATTTATTTCTTTCTAGGAATCTATTTTGTCTAAAATGTCCCAACTGTCAGCATCAAATTATCGTATTTCTTCATTCAATAATTTATGTGGGATGGAAAGTAATGAACTGGAATTTGTTCTATTCCTTCTTTCCTGTTGTAAGGAAGGTGACTGTCTAAAAGTTCCAATCATTCAGGTAAGAAAAAATGAGAAAAATGAAATCAGTCAGTGGAAAAGAAATGAAAATAGACATGTGGAAATGAGACAGATCTATAGGCAGGAATAGTCATCATTTAATGTAGAACCAGATAAGTGGGGAGAAGAGGAAAAAGTCAAAGGCCTTTCCAAACTTTATCAGGATGGCTCTTAGGATAGATGGTTATGCCATTTCACAAATCTCTGGACAAAGCCAAAGGAAACCTATTAGAGAGCAAAGAGCAATTGTGATATGATGTGTGATACATACAAAAGATAGGTTCTAGGTCATGTATAGTGAGCAAAGTGTTGACTCAATGTAAAAGAAAAAGCAGCTGTACTTATTGAAATTGACAGGAAGGTGTGCTTGGGTTCATGCCAGCAGAAACAAAAAGGTGCCGTGAGTGGGAAAAGTGGTGGGAGGATTGCAGGGGAATAGGAAGAACAAAGATAAATCAGTCTTTCAGATTTTAAAAGATATGCACCTGGCCCTGGATGCTTCTCATTGGATCTTTCTGGATAATATTGACATAAATGATTGACAAGGTGCTAAGTCCTCTCAGGGGCCCTTTAGTGTACATGCCTCTCCCAGAATTTACTCTGTTTTAATCACATACATGATATTTGATCCCAATGCATGAACCTTTAATGAATTTTGAGTGGGGAAAAAGTTACTGAAGGATTAGGACACGTGATTTTATATGCATGTGCTCTGGCTTTGAGCATTAAAGATGTCCTGTGTCTCTGTTGTTCTTAGTTCTGCTTTTCTCAGAACAATAGAAGTGTTGCCAAGGTTGTGGGGGTTCTGGAGTCTCCTTCTGGAGGGGGTTTCTAGCTTCTTTCTGTCCTGACCAAAGAATTGGTCAAGAAAAGTACAAACAGAAGCAAAGTTTTATTAAAGGTAGGGAAAGAAACAAGCTTCGTAAAGCAAATTTGGGCCAAGTAAAAGTAGGAAAATAAATGTACCCTACAGTGTGAGGCTGGGCAACCATGCAAGAGAAAGCATTGGCAAAAACTCAATGTTAATGGTCCTTTCTGTATCACCCACTCCACAGGTTGACTAGGCCATTTATTGAAAACTTGCTCATTCTCATAAGAGTTCTCATGAGAACTCCATGTGCAAGGTTTGAGAACTGTTCTTGGTGTGTTTCCAGGGATTTTGTAATTAATAGGTCACAGCTACTTCCTGAGACACTTTGGTCATGCCCTCATCTTCTGCCTCAGAAGGAGGATTGGCCCCACAGTATTGCCCAAATTCAGGTGTATGGGGTGGGTGTGGTCTCTCAGCCCCAATTGTGCTACCTATAGTAATTGGTTTCATATTCAATATGCAAATATCTTACCTGGGAGATGTAACACAAAATTAACACAAAATTACAATTAAACTACTAATTTTCTTTCAGGGAGAAAAAGATGCTACATACACATCATAACAGTTAAGCTTGAAGGAGATCTTAGAGGAGGAACAGACCTACAGACATGAAGATACCAGTAGTATAGTTAGAAGCAAAGGAGCTCAGTCACTTCCTTCCCTTCCTTCAACTGTAAATGGCATACCACCCTAATGATAACCCAGGCTTAAGCTGAGGAAGTCCTGCAGATTGCTGATGAGAGAGAGAGAGAGATATGCAGGCACCTTGGATCAATGTTATCTGACCCTCTAAATACTGGAAGCCTGAGTTATCAAGCCCCCTTTTTTTCCCTTTCACATTTGAGAACTTTTCCCGCTTCTTACTCGAGTCCCTTTTCCCCTCACCCTCTTTCCTTTCACCCTTCTCCTTGTTCCTGCTGCTACCATCCTGTGATCATCAATAAATGTAGCTACTTACTACATACTATGAGGTGGACACTTGGCAATTCTTTCCTTGTTGTACACAGGAAGCTGAACTTTTTTTGGCTTACCCAATTATAGCACCTGGTCCTCTGCTTGCGCCATCTCACCCCTAGCATTTCCCCTATCTCCAGTATTGATACGCAGTTTGTAGCATTTTACACAGATTCTTTGTTTAACAACTTATCATCATATCCTTCACAGAAAGTTACAAAACACAGTACACAGAAGGCTGAGATCCAATCAGACTTGAGGGAATATCACTGGCGGGAACATCATTGTATGAACCAAATCTTTATTCTCTATCCTCTTGTATTTTGTCATTGGAACCTTGGTGAACCAACAGGAACTGTTCCTCCTAGGGAGAAACAATTCCTAGAGATAGCAAATATTTAACTCTCCTAAGCATGCTGGCCAGAGGCAAACCCCAGTACAGGACTCACACCCTACCACCTCCTTTTATCAAGCCACTATTTTTCTTCTCATCTCACCCCAGGAAAAGGTACTGAGATCAGGTAGAAGAGATGAAACTAGGTAGAAAGGGGACAAGGAAATCAAGATTTTAAAAATTGTACTTTTAAGAAAATAAAAACTGCAGCTTCAGGACACAAACCCAATTTTTTTTTCTTCCCTTTTCTTCTCCCAAAACACAGCAAACCTGGACAGTTCCTTTTCACCTACAAATGGATTTGCCCATTCCCTTTTTACTTTCAAATATTCCTCTTTCACCTATAAATGGACCACCCTTTGGGGATTTTCCAGACAAAATAGACCATTATCTCACTATGGGTGGGTCATCTTCTCCCACCCACTAAACAAGATTAAAACTGTAGATTATCAAATTCCATAGACTCCCACCACCCAAAACTCATAAAATATTCTCAATTCACAACTATATCTTGCCTTGTTTCTCTGAGCACCCACAAGCCATTCTTGAGTACGTCTTATAGCTACCTCTAATAATCCTTCTCATGTCAATTTTACCGATGCATCCTGAAAATTATTTTTTCTGCAACAGGAGTGAGCAAACCTGCAAATTTATTTGAAAAGTGTAGGTTAAGTTCCTTATTTCAGCCTCTGATACCCTCAGACCCAGCCCAGTGATAGTACCAGGTAACTAAAAACAGTACATACAGTACCCTCTACAGCCCAGTGCTGCTTCCCCATTCCTACCAGTGGAAACCACAATAAAAGTTTATGCCCCATCTTTGCCCTCTCTGCCTCCTGACCAGCTCTGATGCTTCCCCACATGGCCCCTTATGGCATTATGTGGTCTCTCTCTTGGTATTATAGGCATCTAAGTTAAACAGACATTAATACACAGGCAGAGAGGAACTGGGCTTGCTAGGAAGTTAGTAAAAAATAAATACATCAGAATTGTGGCTGGAGGTGTATTTGAAGAAGACAAAGCCTCAAGACAAAGTGACAATGGTGAGACTGGCATACTTCCTTAAGAGATAAGCAGAACTTTGTAAGGCCGGGAACCTTACCAAATGCTCGGAGGAGCTGGCTGCAGTGAAGAATACCTGGGAAGGAGCACACTGGACAAGTTGGAAAGCAAAACAGACCTTTATTAGTCTGGCCAGACCAGATGGCACTCCCAAAGCAAAGTAGCTTAGAGAGGCAACTGGCTCAGAGTCCGAGGCTGTTTTTATAGGGGGTTGCAGGGGAAGTTAGCAAGCAGAACTTACAGAAAAGAGAAAAAAATGTTGATGGTCAAAAGATGTTTGCAGATTGTCTTATAGATAGCTGTGTCCGGGACATCGGTTTCGGACAAACAAGGAGTTGGGTAATTCACTTAGGAACTCTATGTTTGTTACAGATTTTATCTAGTGTCCCAGAACTAACAAGCACATTTTAACCATTAACTCACAATCAGTCACTATGTTGAGGCTGGGGGAGCTTTTATGATTACAGAGTTATGTGGTCCCACAACTTGAGACTACAGTATACTGTAATTAGTACTACCCATTCCATTAAGTCTGGACAGGCATCAGATGTCCAAGTGGATGACCAGAAGACTGGACCCATCCCTTTCCCAAAATGTTCCTATTTTAGAAGTCATAGATAAGCACAGGATAATAATGTCAGCCATACACCCTTGTTATATACTCCACTTCCCTAATGGGTCAATATTAGCTAAGTGACTATACTTGTAATCTTACCAGTTGATTATAGTTTTATTATAGACAGCTAAGTTAGAGATATTATAGGCAGTCAGACAGGGCTAGGGACTCCAAGAACCCAATGGAGAAAATAAGAATACAAGTAGTGGATGGAAGTGGATTCCTTAAAGGCCAGGACTCAAAACAAAGATAAAGTGACTACACCTACTTCCCTAGGGATAAACAATAATGATTGATATTCTAAATAGGCATCAATCACATGGGTGGGGGAACAAGACCTTGACCCATCCCTTCCAGGAAAGTTCCTTGACCCATCCCTTCCAAGAAAAGTCTTTGTTCTTTATGTTCTTTCTTTTGCTTCCTCACTGGATCAATATTACCTAAATGACTATACTTGTAATCTTATTAGTGGACCATTGTTTTGTCCCATCTTATACTCATCTCATAATTTCCTACTCACCTCATGATTTTGCTCTTTAAATCCTTCCCTATAAGTCGAGTCCACAGCAACCCACTCTCTGAGTCCCATTCTGTCTCTCTTAGATAGAAGTTATCTTTTCTTCAATAAATATTTTCTACTGTTAATCTCTAATTTTCCTAGAATTCATTCTTTGATTTTAGAGAACACAAACTTGGCATATCAGATATCTAACAAATTGGGAGTTATAATATTTCCCTTACAGTGTTTGGATTATTTGAAAGTCCTATATCATCCTTGTATCATTTGGAGATCCCAATGAGATCACTGGAAGGAGGTAAGAGTTTCTTTTGTTTTGTTTTTCTTAACTGTATATACTTCTTTTTTTTGGTACTGGGGATCGAACTTGGGTCCTTCAGCTTGCGCAGCAGGCTGTGAAACCACTGAGCTAAGTCCCCAGCCCCAAACTGTATATACTTTTATTGGTACATTTTAGGTTTACAATATAATGACAATCATCATTGGAAATTTGCACCTTTACATACTCTCTCGGTTTTTATTTTTTCCCCCTTCCCCTGCCCTCCCTTCAACCCCTCCAAAGGAAAGTAGGGAACGGAATTAATATGAGAAAATGAAAAAAAGGAAACAAATTCTCTGTAAATAGGGAGGGATGAAGAGTTTGCTTTTGTTTCATAGATTCTGGATTGTGACTTGCTTAGGTAATCAAAAATTGTCATCGTTGCTTGTCAATTGCATATGCCCTGAATTTTTATGCATCTTTTCTCTTTTATGCATTGTTTTTTGTTAAAATGATAGTAAATTTAAGTTGAGAACATGGGAAAATTATGATGTTTCTTTGATGGGACTTTTTTCCCATTTTGTACATGCTGCATTAGGACTTATTTGCTGAACTTACTAGTGTTCTCTGTTTGACCTGTTTGATTGTTGTGGTTTAGTATCTTATCTTAGGCAGCAGTGCTAGGAAAAAGTAAAGTTAGAATGTCCTGTGGTGGACTTTGATATAAAATGCTATAAAATGGGTCTTATGTAATGTAGTTAATATTTAGGAAATATATATGCCTATTAATAAATCACAGGACCCCTTCTAGCAGTTAATAGGCAATAGGCCAGCAGACATTCTTAAAACTTGGAGGACAGATTTCACTGGAACAAACTGGCCCCACTCTATCATCCTTCTATACCCTAGATGGAACATTGAGCCTCTTCTGCCTCAGTTTCCTTTCTGGTCTGAGCTTCCACTGGTGAGGAGGCAATCTTAGCTCTTGAGATTCCCCATTCTTGCCTTTCCAGGCTAAGAGTGACTACTCATGAGCAAGTTGTCTCAATAACTCACCGTGAGCATGAGCAGAAAATACTTCCATTTTCTGACCTCATTTCAGATCTTTCCCTGCCACTTTGTACTTTTCCTTTTTCAAGGAATGTAAGATCAGAGAAAAAGCAACCTTGAAATGTCCCAAACTTTTCCTAAGAACCTTTAAATTGAGCCCATAGAAAATGAGCATTTATTAATGTCGAAGACAGGGAAGTCATCTTAGATGAAGACAGCTTAAACTTTCATCTGTTCCTGACAGAACTCTAATAAACAGATGGATTCCCTTTCAGAAACAAATCTCTGGTTGCATGGAACCAGTAAAAGCTGAGAAAACAACCGAGGGGCCATGTCCAGGGTAACTCTTGGCAGATACCCAAAGGTTCCTCAGTGGAAACGGGGTCCCGACAGCCTGACTGGGCAACCAGCAGAAAATTTCCACTTATCCATCATCCCTACCTGCACTAAGATGAGAGACAACTCTGTCAGCAATCTTCTGGTATCCTCTGTTACAGAGTGGCCAGAGGTGATACTGTTAGAGCCCTCTCTTAAGGCTCCACTAAGAGTTGAGCTACAGCTTTGGACTTTTCTCTCTGCTAGTAAGTTAGAAAACCTCTCTAAGTTTTTCTCTAACTCACTGAGAGTTAACTTTAGAATTCCTTGATTAGCTAAACCACTTTGTAGCTAATCCGCCCCTTCCTCCAGAAAATCAGGCTGAGACAGCTTGCAATAAACATTTGCCTTGGCCGGGGATTTAGCTCATTGGTTCCACTGCTTGCCTCGAGAACACAAAGACCTGAGTTCAATCCCCAGTACCAAAAAAAATAAATAAATAATAAGCCAAACATTTGCCTATCACAGAGGAGAACAGCTATCAGCTAGCAATTTACACTTGTGCCTTGTATATGCTAACTAGAATAAAAAAGAATTTTCGTCAGCTTTTTTCTCCTTTTGTGTGCATGTTGGTAATTGATAAATGTGCCTTTACTAACATGTAAATTGTGGTTGCTAGGCAATGGGTATAAGTTTAACCTATAAGCTTTAGAGACATAGAAATTATAAGGTGGATTTTGGGTAAAACAGCCTTTTCTTGCTGCTGAGGAAGATTATCTAGGTGATTACGTAGATAACTTGACTCTATCTTTAGAAGTGATTTCTTCTGCAGTCTGGAAGGTGCTCCAATCACTTTGAATTTGCCCTCACTCTCTTTCAAAGAAATGGCAAACAGTGGTTTAGATCTCTTGATTATTGGTCTTGTTAGCAATGTTTCCTTCTTCAACTATGACTGTTACAGCTGAAACTCATTACAGCTTGCACCTTTAGAAACACCTGCTAGAATTAGGAGTGTGACTTTCTGGGGAAGATAGGGTTCTGAGCCAGTAAGGGTGGCTAATTTGACCCAACTTATCTTCTACTCTCCAGATTGCAGCCACTTGCTCTGTAGTGGGTCATCTCAGGGGACACCTTGAGGCTATAGAAATCTAGGTGAAATTAAAGGGACATCAATCTTTCTCTTATATTTTCAGATGGGAGACTTGATGTCAAAATCTCTTATTCCTTTGGAATGTATTCTTAAACACTGGAAAGTATTTGAACCTCACATATTGAGAAAGAGCATTTTAATATTTTTCTATACCTATGCATGGCCTGCCTGCCCCTGCAAGCCAAAATGGAATGCAGAAGTGATTATGATACTATTTCACAACTAGAATCATACTGTAAGAAAGAGGGAAAATGATCAGAATTACCTTATGTTCAGATTTTCTTTGTATTAAGAAATAGTCCTTACTTGTGTTCAAAGTGTAAATGAAAGCCTCAGGAAAACCAGACACCTCTGGCCCTTAAGGCACAATCAGATGCATCTACTATTACTGAGCCTGAGTTTCAACTCACTTGCCCTTTGGATCCTAAGGACAATGTTTCCAAGCCAACTTTAATCAAACCCTCATCCACGACTAGTGAGCCTGAGGTTCCCCTCACTTACCCTCTGTACTTTAAGAATGAGGCTTCCAAACCAACCTTTATTGATGCCTCTACTGAGGTAGGTCCATGCCTATCTGATTTGTTCAGGCTCCTCAAGGACAGTATCCTGTACAAAAGGTGGGTAGAGAATCTGGCCTTATCCATGTCCATGTCCTTTTCTCTCTGTGATATCAAACAGATCAAACAAGATCTGGGAGGTTTTCAGATGACCCTGACAAGTACATTAAGGACTTATTCAGACCTATGAACTAGAATGGAAACATGTAATGTTACTCTTAAACCAAACATTGACTTCTAATGAGAAACAAGCAGCATTAAAAGCTGCTATTACATTTGGAGATGAATATCATATTGTTAATTTGGTTTTTGAGGTTTTTTTTTTTGGTACCGGGGATTGAACTCGGGTCCTTGCACTTTCGAGGCAGGCGGCAGAACCACTGGGCTAAATCCCCGGCCCCATATTGTTAATTTTAGAAAGCCAGAAGACAAGCAGCCAGGGGAACAGCTAGTTCCTACTAGAGCCTAAGGAGTCCCTACCCAAGATCCCTCATGGCCTAGCAACCAGACAGGAGATTGGAATGAATAAGAAACATCTTCAGACACGTATTCTTGAAGGCCTGAGAAAGATGAAAGCTAAGCCCTTCCATTTTTTTTAATTGCCAACTATTCATCAGGAGAAAGATGAGAACCCCTCTATCTTCTGAGATCATT